TAAATGATGACACCAATGTGAGGAATTCCCACAAATCAAGATGTTTTTTGGACCTCTGAAGCAAGTACATTTGAATACAACACATGTCAGGATATTTTTACTTGGAAAAATTAAATGAAACACTTTATCAATGCCAGCAACCCCACCCATTTAAAGGTGGGGTAGGTCATTTTGGAGAAACCAGCTTGAGTGCGCTGGAATTTGAAAATACACAGCCGGAACAAATCTGCCACTTCCTTACAGAGCCCCTCCTCCAACACACACGAACGCGACCAATGAGGGCACGAGATGGAAGGCTGACAGGCAGGTAGGCCATCCAGTTATTTTAGCCGGGCCGGCTCAGATGATTGGTCGTGCTTTTTACAGTATTACGGCTTCCACAGATGACATTTTTTTAATGGATTTATTGTCAAAGCACTTAAGATATTCATTGCTATCGGGATGTTAAGAGCATTCCATGGAATATAACAAAAAGTGTATCTCGAACCGGTTTCTCAAACGTACCTACCCCACCTTTAACCTTTACAGCTGTAAAACATACACACACTTTTATTAACTTATTTTCTTGGACTTTTTAAATCTATTCCAAAGATCCATGTTCTCTCTTATAACACGAGGTTAATATTTACACATATTTTTGAAATCTATACAGTATGATCTGTTTTGCAGTCCCTTGGACCAATCCCAAACAATCAGGTCAAATCTCACGGATGGACCTCGTCTGATATTTTTGGCCTGTTATATTCACTGAAGGTGGATTGCTATTGCAGCTTTTCCTTCAGGAAATATTTCACCCGAGATGTTAAGCCTCCCAGATACTGACTTATCTCGTCTCGTGATCCGTTTAGTTTGGAGATTACATCCTAAACAGGAGTCATACTTGCATTAAATATATGGCGTTTACTGTTTGTGGAAAAGTGTGCTTCTGCTTATTTGAAGTATCTCTTAAAGTTGGTTTACAGCAAGTTTTACGCACAGGTCAGGTTTGATGGTTCAAGGCTTTTATTGGTCATACGAACATAGCTACAGTGTAGTTATGACAATGACAATCTTAGGTCACAGGCTCCTCCAACAGTGCAACACAATAAAGCCGACAAATAGTGCAAGTAAATACAAAAAGAAAAATAGTAATAAAAAAAAAGTCAAATAGTGCAATAAGAGTCTATATACAAAATATTGGAATATTAGATAAATGATTTCTAAGTAGCAGCCAGATCAATGTTATGGATGTTGTTTCAAAGTTCAGGTGTTTAATAGTCTTACAACTCTTTTCAACTACAACTCTTTAGCAGTGATTCCCCAAAGCTGTCCCACTGTTTACGTCGCACCAACAGGGGAATCCTTTGTTGTGTGCTTGTGACTGATTTTGTCGTGAGAGAGAAAACAGAATTGGCTAAAAGGATTAGGCACATCCTCATCGATGTTGACAATGTAAATGTGAATATCCGGAGAGACTTCCCTGTGAACAGCAGTTTGTTTGCTTACACAAGTGGGTGCTTTCACCCTCAGGTTGTTGCTGTAACGAGGTGAAGGAGGACATGGTGGCAGTTCAGTTGCTTAATTTGAGCCCACACGTTACTATTTTAGGAGACAAAGAGCTCAATGTGGGTTCATTGGTGCAGTGAGTTCGATTTCTCTTATTAGATCTTAAGAAATGTCAAACCAATTGCACATTTTCTGGCTTCATTTCACTGGTCAAGCTGCACAGCATGAAGGATAATAAGGATAGAGGCTTGCTTGCAGCTGGGTGGGTATAAACATCTGGACCATAGGCATCCCCTCCACCTCCCCCACTCTATAACTCCTACAGCACAGAATACAGACAGACAGACAGACAGACAGACTCACCCCTCTTATAACAACTGGCCTTTTAAAACTAGCTGTTAAACAGTGGACTTGTTTATACACACACACACAGACACGGACTGAATGAGGACACACTCCGTCAGAGACAAGGCTCTGACGTCCACTCATACACTGACTGTCAAAGCTGTGTGGAGGTGTGTCTGTTCGTGAGTCAGTCAACAACAAGAACACACACACACACACACACACACACACACACACATACACACATACACACATACACACACACACACACGCACTGAAAATGAAATGCTGAGCAGCAATCGCTGGCAGTATTTTGAACACTGTACAGCTGGTAGTCGGTATATGGGTGTCCTTAGTTTTAGGAGGAAATCAATCACACACACTTGTCTCAAGAGCAGACCGGTTAAACTACTACTGGGTCCAGGTTTGTTCTCTATGTAAACATCACATACTGTAAAGGTGTTTTAAGGTTTGCTCTGTTGATATAAAAGGGAATAGAGAAGGCAAAAGTTACTGTGTCTGACTCTGATCTTCTTTGTTACTTTCCATAATTTGCTGTCAGACAATAAATCAATGTATCCACCACAAATTCTATTGCTTCAATAGGAGAGTGTATTCATTGAATTTTCAGATGATTTAGTAACTAATACCTCCGTCCTGTGTGGTGGTAATGACTGGAAAGGCTTCTGGAAACTCAAACTTAGTTATGTCAACATATTAGGTGAATTAAAAAGTGAGCTTAAGTGAAACAAACCAAAGAGCAAGAGGAAAATCTTTTGAACTGAATTTTAAATTAAATGTCGATTACATTTTTTACACTCTTTCTGTCACTTTATATGTGAACAACTAAGTGCAGCACTATGAATGACTTTCAGGAGACAATATGTGCCATTTCCCTCCCTCTCAATTATGACCTGCTTTTCACTCCACCTTAGAATGATGCAAACTATAAACACATTTAACATAACTGATGTGGTTGGACAACATGTACAAACTCATTTTGCTTGAGTATAACCAGCGATGGCGTCCTTTTAACTCAAGTGGCTGTCTCCAAAGGTGTTGTGGTCATCTGATTTAAGAGCATATTATTGATTTTAAAGAATGATTCATTGTCGGCTTACTCTGAATAACAGTATCTTTAAGAGTGATTTAGCATTTCCGGCAATTTGCTATGTCCAAGTCAGCATTCCTCTGGTGACGTGTTGATGGGAGGTCACGCTCCTCGTCTCCAGCTCCTCTCCAGGGCCTTGTTTGGCCATTTGTCTCTGTGTTTTTATAATTGACAAGGAGAGCTGAAGGGAGAGCAAACAGAAAGCTCTGCAGGGAGTAGTCTGATCTCCTAAAGCAATCCGAGAAGCATTTTCCAGAATATGATACCCATAACATAATTTTCACATCGAATTAAATACAATTTCTGAACAAAATCATGGCACTTATTTGGTCAACGCTGAAATTAGTATATTAACAATCCATAAAAGGAACAATATTACATTTCTCAAACTCATGTTGGCAATATCATGCTTGCTTTTTCCTTTTTCTGGTTTTGAAAAGTCATAAACCCAAAATAATTACTTTACCACTTACATTTGAGCTATTTTCATACTTGATTCACCAGTTATTTTATGCACCTTAAATTCATGTTTTACCTTTCGTGACATTTTATATTAAGTCTACATTTCGTTATTCTTTCTGCGTTTTTTTTAGCTACGGCTGCAGAATATGTTATTTGACCATCATTGCAACGTAAACTCGTAAAAACATTGTAAAAGATCAGTGGAAATTGCACCTTCAAATGTAATTATCTTTTTAATTTGGTCCTTTTTTTTCCGTGTAATGTTCAGCAGTGCAAAAAAAGGATAATCAAATCTATCTCCCTCACTTTTTTTTTTGGCTCAACAAGCAATTTGAATATCAGTTAATGTATCAAGCAATAATAGTCTCGCTACATTCAACACTGTTAATGTATTTTCATCATATCGTGCATTATTTTTCTTTTAACAAATGAGTTCTTTAAATTCCATGAAACTGACTCTCCGCTCTATGATGTGTGATTTCCTGTGCCTCCTGACGTGACGCAGGAATTTGACAGCAGTTATACAGGTTATGGTACATGTGTGAAAGCAGCCAGAGAGAGGACGTGCAGCAGGAAGTGATCGTCTGTGTGTCTGCATTCATGCTGTTTGTTTGTGTGTGTTTGTGACTGGAGGTATGAAGGAAACAGACTCCAGCATCCGCCTATTATTTGTGCCCTGCCTTGATAAGAGAAGGTGTTTCCTCTGATGCCTGCACGACTCCTTGGGGTCCATTGTGTGGAAGCAGCAGAGATTTATTGTTGGAAAGGGTATAATTAGGGGTCCCTCGCTTGTCTGGGAGAGAAAAGGGGACGGAAATGGGGTTGAAGGGCCGTCTGCAGCAGGATGGGTATACTGTAAACTGGGGGAGGTGTGTGTGTGTGTGTGTGTGTGTGTGTGTGTGTGTGTGTGTGTGTGTGTGTGTGTGTGTGTGTGTGTGTGTGTGTGTGTGTGTGTGTGTGTGTGTGTGTGTGTGTGTGTGTGTGTGTGTGTGTGTGTGTGTGTGTGTGTGTGTGTGTGTGTGTGTGTGTGTGTGTGTGTGTGTGTGTGTGTGTGTGTGTGTGTGTGTGTGTGTGTGTGTGTGTGTGTGTGTTGTGTGTGTGTGTGTGTGTGTGTGTGTGTGTGTGTGTGTGTGTGTGTGTGTGTGTGTGTGTGTGTGTGTGTGTGTGTGTGTGTGTGTGTGTGTGTGTGTGTGTGGCGATACAAAGGATCTGGGTTAGATGTGGGAACCCCCCTGCTGTTCCAGCTGGACGGGGGCTCACGTCACGCCACTCTGTTTATCCCGCAATGACATCATTACTGCATCCTGTGGTGGTACACAGGCCTTTGCACAGTATCTCCCACCCCCAGTCTCTCGGTTGGCACAATTTCCCCCGAGGGGAATCAGCCCACAAATACAGTACAAGCTAATCATTATTCTGGGGAGTGAAGCAACGAGGGCGCGTGATTCCTCTCAGCGATGAGTGATTTGAACGCCACATTATAACGCAAACAAAGCGTGAAACAATTGGTGGTTGTTGGGCATAGTAATGTGTATAAAAGCTGCTTTATGTGAATGTTTGCACTCATCCCCTCATCTCTTTTGTCTTTCATGTGCAGCTGAAAAGGTGTCATCACTGGGGAAAGACTGGCACAAGATGTGTCTTAAGTGTGACCGCTGCAACAAGCTCCTGAACGCCGGAGGCCACGCTGAGGTCAGTAGGACGCCACCACTAACTGTACAACGCTGTCCTCTCACTGCTGAAATTAAAGGCATCTGATACTAATCTGTCTTCTTCTCTGGTGCTGCAACTAGTGAGATCTCAAGAGATTTGGTTGTATTTGTTGCGTCAAGGCAGTGTACAATGTGAATAAAAGAGAGATTAGAAATGGTAAAATAAACAAATAGCACATTTTATATAATCGTTTGATAACATACACAATTATAAACATGTGAAAAGTAAAATAGATGGAAACCATAGTAGAGAAAAGCAACTTAGTACATCTCAAGTTTTCTTACTATTCATCTACTCATTTAACTTTCAAACTATGCCATAAAACAACCCATTTAACTTTCAAACTATGCCATAAAACAACCTATCAGAGTTAAATAATTAACTCAATACTCCAATAATGTAAATCTATCTCAAAGTTGATTTACAGATTAAGAATTCAAATCTATGGTCTGTTTGTAAAATAGGATTCATTGTATTGTAATATTAAACTACCAGATAGTGTCGAAAAATTGTAAATTACTACTTCAGCTTCTTGCTTCAAGGCACATAGCAGGGTCTAAACACAGCCTCTATTATCAGTGTAACTGAATGGTGATTTTTTCAAGGGAAACCAGGATGAAGAGATATGTACTATACTCTGTAACTGGGGCAGTGTTATGGACTCTTTCTATGCTGCATAGTGGCTCTGTGTATGGAGCACATCTCGCATATTGTCTCGGGTAGGAGTTCACTTCCCACTGAGGCCATTCATGCTCACATTATATGCAGTCAGTGCTGCTGTGAAGCACTGTGGCTGAAAGTGCCACACAAATGGCTTCTCTGAATGGACTTTAAGGGCTTTCCACTGTTAATGCAACTTCTATTTTAGGAAGTAATGTTGTCTTTCTGTATGAAATATCAGCACAGTCGGTTGATCTCACGAGGTCAAACAAACTTCATGACAATATTCCTGTTCAGTTAATTGACTTTAGTGGTGAAATCTAAAAAGGGGAAGCCAGTTCTGCCTGGTCATGTATTGACTTATTGACAGAATGCCTCTACAGTGGATCCTCAATGAAACACGCTAAAAGCTATGCTAATGGTAACGCTTTTAGGAAACCGTTAGCACGTTTCAGTGATTGGCATAATGACAAATGATGTATGTATGTTCAGTACTCAAGAGTAATGTTTTATATTGAAAATATATTAGTAATGTATGCTAGAGACTACATTCAGACCTCGTTTGTGATCTTCAGTGGTTGGAGATGCTAACCGCTAACATGCTAGCCAGGGAAGAACATATTTTTAGTCGCTTCCTGTTTTTATAGCTTCCTTCTATTTTCTCTTCTCTGTGTCGTTTACTCCATGTTCTCTCTCAGGATTGTTCATAAATTAATCCAATAAGGACTTATTTAGTGAAGGGGAGGATGTTTTTGCACCAATGACTCTTGTCTCATAGTCAGTAAATCATCCCTTTTTTTTGTGAGACAGTTTTTACTGCAACACAGAAGGTTAAATGAAAGTGAGTGAAGCCACTTAGCTAATAAGCTACAATACCTTCCTCTGTGTTGAACTCTTAGGCTCTTCATCAGCACCATTAAGACGGCTTCCTATTGGCCATCGGCGGCATTAATGTGAAAAACGTTACCAAAGTGAAACCAACAATGATGAAAATGAACGCTGGTGAGACCGGCTCTTAAGACTGGGAAGTGTTTTTCTGCTTTGCAAAGATATGATGTTCTTTCCTTTCATTTCACCCCACAGAATGTGTGCTTTCTGCTCAGGAAATTGCTGAGTTCATGCCTTTTTCCCTTCCTTGTTGTGTGTCTGGCTGCATCTGTCAATATGAGATGTCCTTTTGGGAATTTTAACCCCTCCAGGATGAGCACTCTTCTTCCTCTCTGTTGCATAATCACATTGCAGTATCGCGTCTCAACATATAGACCTCCGCCGCCCACCGGAGGTTTTCTTATCAAGCCCTTTTTTATGTTGCCCTCTGTGACCCAGCCAGCACTTCAATCTCATCCTCGACATTTCTGTTATTGGATGACTTTCCCGCTCTTTTCTCAACACACAGAGGATGTGATCTCAGCGTTTTTGTACACAAAAGCAAAATCCCTGCAGACCCCAAAGGATGCTGCTGTTGCGCTGCTGTTTAATCTCTGCATGATTACAGTAATGTACTCTCGATCTCTCGCGGATGCTATCGCTTATCTCCTTATCTCGCTCAGAGCGCTCTCTCGATCTCTTTCGCATAGAGATAGGCTTCATCTCTTCTCTAGGGCTACTCTCTCTCTCTCTCTCTCGCTCTCTCTCTCTCTCTCTCTCTCTCTCTCTCTCTCTCTCTCTCTCTCTCTCTCTCTCTCTCTGCAGCATCCACATGTTCCCCCGGGCTGCAGCACCGTGCCACGAGCCTGACTTTACTAGGCAAAAAATCAATACTTAATCATCGTCATGGAAACAGAGCAAGGTTTAGAGATGTCGATTTTTTGTTTTAAAGCATGTAAAGGGGACTGCGGGTGCTTGATGTCATCTCAGACCTGGGGCCTCATTTATATAGGGATATACGCTCAAAAAATGGCGTACGCCAGTTTCTACGCACATGTTTTGCGATTTATAAAATACTAACTTGACGGGGGAAAACGTGCGGTCCTCCAAGCAAACTCTTACGCACTAAGCACAAACACGGGAGAGACGAGAAACTGCGACACCGTTGGCAGAAGGAAGAATGGAGAGAAATATGTGGAAATAATACCATAAACAAAATGTTCATTTTCACAAATTGATTAAAGCCATTCTTAAAATGATTAAACAAACGCCTGTTTGAGACTCCTCAGTGCACACAAGAACATAACTTGGAGAAATAAATAAATACGGATATGTTATTTAAAACCACCTCGAATATGTTGTGTTAATGTTATGAAATGTTTTCTCATAAATGATGCGGTTTTGCATTTCTATAGGTTGTACGAGCATGGTTTTATATACTACCATGTTTAATCATGTTTTATGCCGTTTGCTAAGACTTGATAAGTCGCTCATAAAACACAGGAGGTATGGAAACTAAGAACACCATGTCGTAAATTGTACAGCTAATATAACACAACACATTAGTTGTATTTCCTTTAACTGGTGGATATAGAGTTGCTGCAGTGGAGACGCTGCGCACAGCTGATCGACAGCTGGGACACAAACCACCAAATACGAAAACATAATTCAGATCTAGTCATCATGACTCCACGCCGGAGGGATTCCCCGATCATTTCTTACAGTTTCTCATCAAGGGGGGGGGGTCTCCTGTCCCCGGTGCAAACACACTGACTGAGGAAGGCTATGTGTATTTTTTTTGTCATGAACCTTTTTCGGACCACTTATTTATTTATTTTGGTGACCATCCGACCTTCATGCCGCTACTCTGGTTCAAACTGCATCCACCAAACAATATGATTTATCTCGACCTCCCCAAAATAACCAAAATCTGACACGGTGTGAGATGTCTTTTTTAGCTGTTCTGTCGTCATTTCCTGCGATCTTCTTCATAAAGTCAGTCAAAATGAATGAATGGACGTTTCTTTGACTATTTATAGGCAAATATGGGCGTTACGTGAAGCCCGCAAAAGCTGCACCGCATTTCGAGTCGATTGTGATTTATAAAGGGAAACCGGCGTAGGAAGTGCTGTACGCACTTTCCTCGCCGGTACGCAATGTTTGGTGAATCGGAAAATGTCTGTACCTATTTTTTTTTAATTTTCTACTACGTAAGCAACCTTCCCACGTGAATCCTTACGCACGGCGTTATAAATGAGGCCCCTGGTATGCAGAAGGTTAAGACCCTCAGAGAAATACTGACTGCTTCTTTAAAAGGAAACTGGCGACCGTGGCCTGTCGTCTGAGGGCGAATGACGGCAGCCGCCTGGGCAGAGAGCCAGGCTTCAGAAAGGAAAAGGTGACAAGTCCTCATTGTTGCCCCTTAAAGACCAAGATTGTATTTGAATGCAGATCTACTTGTCAGAGTCTTAACGGAGTGAAATCTGAACATACAGACGGGAGATTTTGAGTTCAGGGAAACATTTTCTCCAGTGATAAATATCTATGAATCCCAACAGCCATGAAATTGTGCTTGAATTAAATACTTTTCGGATACATCTTTTGAGAAAAGGATACAAATCTATGCAGCTGAACCGCAGATATAGCCTTTTTTAATTCCATGCTTTTTAGCCAATTGGATTGCTATGCTCGTAGCCGCTAATGGAGCCAAGAGCCAAAGATACAAAGATCTGTTAAACTCACTTCTTTCTAACTCCACACCCCCAATTTATTTAACCAGTGCCTTTTGTTGAAGTGACAGTGTTAAAAGGGGGGTGACAGAGGGGATGACACGTGGCAAATGGTCACAGGCCAGATTTGACCCCAGGTCCTCAGCCCCAGTATGGGCCTCAAGCTCTACCAAGTGAGCTATACAGTATGGTGGCTCATGTAGCTCACATGTGAAGTAGTACTCACTAAGACCTGTAAAGTGACTTCTTAAGTAAAATTGGTGGATACACAAAAGTTATTTTTCTAAGGAAAAAGACTCAATGCTTTCAATTATTTTGGGCTCTAAAAAATCCTTCAAATGATAAAATCTAAGAGGGAAACATCGCCGTTTTAATTTAACTGTCTGGCCATAACTTGATAGCATCTTTCTTTTAAAATAGCTACCTGTTAAGACATGAAGTGACTTTGCCATAAGCAAGTAAAAAAAGCAGATCAAAATCAGCTAGTGGTACAAAGTTAATCCACTAGCATTCTGGTCTCTTGTCCAGGGACTGAAGCCCAGCAAAGTGGGTGAGCAGAGTTCGAAGCAATGGGGCACGGAGATTAAGATGAGGATGACGACAGGAACGAAAAAGATGAAGAAAACAGATTGAATTGTCAGGATGTGGGAAGTGAGCTTCTGGGAAGAGAGTGGGCTGTGTGTAAAGATGGATAATCCATTTTTAGGGTCCCTCTGCTTCACAGCCAGAGCCAGTACTGTACAGCAGACTGTTAACAGACGTCTCCCTGCACTTCACAATGAAGCCCTGTGTGTGTCCTGTCCTGAGAAAGTCATCAGTGCTCAGTTATGGCAGCGCCGTCCGGACCTTCAAGGATCTCATAAATGTCAAACAGGAAGTGAGAGAATGCTTTAACGGTAGCTGATCCTGTCACGGTTAATTCATTATTTAACGTGAGAGAAGAATCCTCTACTCTGCCTCACAGTCTTCTGAGGTAACGGAGCTCATGTGGCCAAAGCAGAAGGGACTGTGGGTAGTTTGTCCCTTTTTATCTAATACAAGATTACAAAGATAACTAGATACAACATTGGAGGCAGGGCCAATTCATTCCTATGAAAGTTGTTGTTCAAATTGGCCTTTTTAATACAAAATCACTTTTTTCGCATCCTGGGCCCCTAAGAGTTGTTCTTGAATCCCAGCACTCAGTGTCGGTTGGTACCGGTTTTGTCAAATGAATTCAGGAGGGTAACAACTATTTTCCCTGGTTTTGTAAGGTGAGTTACAGAAAAGTGATGACACTTTCTAAGACTGTTGATCTACGAATGGTTATTTATAAAAATTCCCAAGGAGTAACTACACTGTAATTATCCATGGTCAACCCTACAATATCTCGACAGTATCCATAAAGATATGTGTTTAAAAATATCATTATATATGATTTTGAAGCCGGAATTTAAAGCCTGGCTCTCTTCCTGGAGGTTTTTCCCTCACCACCCAGGCTCTGGCATCGTTCCCGTGTCATTCGCTTGTTTCTTCTCTTCTATGGGCATCAGGGATCTGGACCAGTAGCCCTCGGCCCTGATCCCCTTCCCAAGCTGGTCACATGCTCCAGCAATGACCGCCACATTCCCAGCATGCATCAGCAGCAAGCCATCTATGTCTCACACTGACCCCTCAGGTGGGGTAGGGACACGTCCACTCGGTGCTGGCTCATCAACAGAATCCTGTTTCTTGGATACAGCCGGCGTCATTATTATGTGTTGAAATGGAAAGAAAGAGTCTTGTATTCGTTTTTGGACTGAATCTTTCCATCTTCTCCCCAAACCAAAATATATGATGTCAGAAAAAGTGTGAAAAATGACTATACTTTAACATGTCATGGTTGCCTTTTCCCATTTGCGTCATCAGGGTTTTTTCTATCCTTTCATGCCCATTGAGTACGTTTATTTTATATAGATGTCACTGATGTTTTTCTGTCTCTCCCACAGCACGACGGACGGCCCTACTGCCACAAACCGTGCTATGCTGCCCTCTTTGGGCCAAAAGGTAATACTCATGTACTTTTATTCAGCATTAAATACATTCACCTGTTTTAACATCTTTACTAGACTTTGATTGTACTCTCTTACAGTATATTAACTGGATTTGTTGTGTACTCTCTAGTATTGTGTTACTTGGTTTGTTTATTGACTAACTATATTGTAAAAGGTTTTTAGAATGGAGGCACAAAAAATACTTAATCACCAATAAATAGATAAGTAAATACAATTTAAAAAAAAAAAAAATCGAAATCAAAACACAGATCCGTGCATTTAATTTTTATATTTATATACATTTATCTATTTTTGTATTCACGTGTCTATATATTCTTTGACTTGTTCAACTGCTACTGCTGTTAGATAGCTGCAATCTTTTCATTTACCAATATGTATTTATTTATCAATAAAGTATTTATGGAAGGTATTCATTTTGTAATATTCTATTCATTTATAAAAAAAAAATATTTATTTATTATATCAGATATAAAATAAAATATTTTCTCTTGTGTTAATGATTTGTTTTCAGGAGTCAACATCGGTGGAGCTGGCTCTTATGTGTACGATGCTCCCGCCAACAACAACCCCACCAGCGTGGATTCAGCCCCAAAAGCTGAAGAGAAGCGAGTGTTTGTCCCCAAGGCAGCACCCAAAGGTAACTCAGATCCACAAATATAGTACACACTGTACGAATAACATGCTTCTATCAGCGAGCGTTGACTAGCAGGGAGACAGATAGCTGATGGGGTCGTTTTTTAGACTTCTTGTGTTGTAGGTCAAAGGAAAGCTGTTGCTGACTCAATGATAAGAACGTCGATACACAAAGTCTTTTGGGACCTCAGGAGGATTTTCTCAGACGTGTCAGATTGCATGTGTTTCCCCTGTCAGCAGGAACAAAAACCCTTTATCTATTTTTTCTTCAATTGGTCTCTGCTGTGCACTTTTCTGTTAATGGCTTTTTTCTACTCACTTGGTTTTTGAAGCTAGAAGACTCAGCAAAGGTTAAGGATTTTTTGTTTGTTCTCTGGACATAAAACCCTTCAATATGCAGGGGCTAACTTTTGAAATAACTTGCCATATAACATACAATCTTTGGAATACTTTACAGTGTTGAAAAGCTTTTATCTAATCAAATAAAGAGGAAATTCTGGCCTCACTGCACTGGCTTCCAATTCGGTTCCGAATTGATTTTAAAATCCTTTTATTTGTTTTCAAAGCCCTAAATGGGCTGGCTCCTGCCTATATAGCCTATCTCCTCCATCGCTACACCCCAGCCAGAGCTTTAAGGTTTACTGACCAGCTGTTGCTGATAGTGCCCAAGACCAGGCTCAAAACCTGAGGGCACCAGCCTTCGCAGCAGCTGGCCCCAGGCTCTGGAATAGTCTGCCCCTCCATGTGAGGTCGGCCCAGAGGGGACTTTTAAATCCTCACTAAAAACACGGTGGTGGCGAAGTCGATAGGGACTTGGCTTGGCAACTGGAAGGTCACCAGTTCAAGTCCCGGCAAGACCAAGTGCTACCGAGGTGTCCCTGAGCAAGGCACTGCTCCCCGGGTGCCGTTCAAAATGGCAGCACACTGCTCCTAACACTAGGATGGGTCAAATGCAGAGAAACAATTTCCCCACGAGGGATTAATAGAAAGTCCTTCTTAATCTTATGTGTAGGTTGTTTTATGACAGAATAACACCAAACCAGTGTCTTTGCTGTTTGGCGCCAACTGCTGTCTGAAAACAACACTACATGTTCACTAAACCTCCGATGACTCTCCTGATTGGCTGTTTTAAAGATGGAGTAAATGAAGTATCCTGGCAACCAGAATATGTCAAATTGTCGTAACTAGCCTCTTAACTTAATTATTCCCTGTTGTAACATATAAAAACTGTTATTAAGCTCAATTTCATTTGGTTTCATTATTAGCACCCTGTTGTTCACACCTAATTCGAAAGATTGGTGGTCGTTATTCAATAGTTTCTCTTGCCTTTGCAGTAATTCAATGTGTGTTTGTGTGTAATGTTTTAGCTGCTGGAAGCATCACCACCTTTTCTGGAGAGGCCAACCTGTGTCCCCGATGCAGCAAGAAGGTGTATTTTGGTGAGTAGTTAACACATTCAGGGACAAAAGGTGAGGTGGAAAAGGTTTTGGAAAGGTGTGAACCTGCAAAAGTGGTTGCACATGGAGTATAAAGCTAGTGTTGTGTGTGTGTGGGTGTGTGTGTGGTGTGTGTGTGGTGTGTGTGTGTGTGTGTGTGTGGTGTGTGGTGTGTGTGTGTGTGGTGCTGTGTGTGTGTGTGTGGTGGTGTGGTGTGTGTGTGTGTGTGTGTGTGTTGTGTGGGTGTGTGTGTGTGTGTGTGTGTGTGTGTGTGTGTGTGTGTGTGTGTGTGTGTGTGTGTGTGTGTGTGTGTGTGTGTGTGTGTGTGTGTGTGTGTGTGTGTGTGTGTGTGTGTGTGTGTGTGGTGTGTGTGTGTGTGTGTGTGTGTGTGTGTGTGTGTGTGTGTGTGTGTGTGTGTGTGTGTGTGTGTGTGTGTGTAGCTGAGAAGGTGACATCACTGGGTAAGGACTGGCATCGACCCTGTCTGCGCTGTGAGAGGTGCAGCAAGACTCTGACTCCTGGCAGCCATGCAGAGGTGAGGAGAATACTGAGAAAACAAAGATGGAGGAATATTGCGAAGAAGAAAATAACTACTATTACAATAAATAAAAATTGCAAAACGTTGACGAGTACAATCTCCAAATAGCAGTAAGAGCTATATTGGGATAAAGTATTGTGGTGCTGCAGAGACGTCCTGGTTTGCAAACAATATTTTACTTTGTTTGGAACAGTTCCTCTTTTTTTTTTAATGATAATGTGAATAATGTTTCAAAAATGATCATTCCCTCTTATATCGAGAATCATTTCGCAATTGCAATATCAGTCAAAATATTATTATTATAGTTATTTCCAAACATTGACATCCATGTTTATAATAGATTAGTGCTGCAATGATTAGCTGAGTCAACATTTTTTTTTTTTGCGCTAACCATTTTGATATTTAATTTATTAATAATAATAATCACACCAATGGCAGAAAATACTGTTTCAAGTTAACTGCATCATGTTAGTTGAAAGCAATAATATTAAGTTAAAACCTTATATATTTATTTAAACTAAATATTATTGCTTTGAACTAACTTAATGCAGTTATGTGAAATCTGTTGACATGATATATTTAATTAAATACAACGATTTCAGTTTTTTCAGTGTAGTGGTAAAAAATATATGTTTACAAAGACAATTCTTTTGAGTTATATATGACCTCTACAAGTTAAAGGATCCAAAAAAAAGAATAAAAAATGTATATAAATGAAACAAAACGGCAAACAAGGGAATGACACAAGAAGAATGGAAATTAACGTCACTAAAACAATAAAAAATAATGACCTAGACAGAATAAACTAAAGTATTTATTTTTAATAGTCCTTTCCACCTGTCTGCATGACCATTTATAGATCAGTATTTATAGAAATGTATGCCTTCATGTGTTAATGTTTGCATTTTATCCAATTGCAGCATGACGGCCAGCCCTACTGCCACAAACCCTGCTACGCTGTTCTCTTCGGGCCCAAAGGTATCCGCTAGGGGGCGCTGTCCACCCACCCATTATCAGCTGCACTTTATAACAGAATGTCAAAATGTCCGAGCATTGAGCCACGCTGCACATGTTGCACATTACTCGATGTTACTCAAGAGTCATTTCATCATAGCATTATCTGCAACACTGCAGCAGCTTCTGGAGGAAATGTTTTGCAACCTCTCCTGCTCATGTTGTTCCTTCTCTCCCCCTCTCTCCTCCCCCCCTGACTCCCCCCTTGTCCCTGTGGTTTCTCCAGGCGTGAACACTGGTGGTGTTGGCAGCTACGTCTATGAGAAGGAGCCCAGTGCAGTGACCCAGCCTTGAACCTTTTGTCCCCTCAGCTTCATCCCTCCTCTTCTCTACACAACACTGACCATCAACCACAGTATTATTCGTCCTCTTCCTCCCACCTGGCGCTCATACCTGAGACAAATTATCCCATTTCTCCTTTATTCTGACCCGCTCCCAGCTGATTTAGCACTAGGAGGAATGATTAAATGACCTAAACATGTGTTGTATATACATTTGCTCCGGGAGAGCCACACCAAGCATTCCCACAGGTATTACAAGTAATTTAATGCCATGTTTACACATTTATAAACGTATGAGAACACATTAAATGTCACCACAGTCAAATACGAAGGTCCTATATTTAAATGTTGTAGCCTGACAACAGTGTGATTGAGGATATCCGGTTTGAGGTGACTTGTGTTTAACAAAAATGTGACAGAGATTGATTCTTGGGTGTGGAGAAGTGCCTTCTGGCTGGAGGTGGAGGTGTAGCGCGTTGACAGCCGGAGGAATTACGCCTTGGAGGCACAGGTGGTGCTCAGAATCAGGTTGCCAATAAATGTGTATTTTAAAAATGCCATATTTACCTTTTGCCCGCCTGTCAACATTCCTTATTTTAAAATAAATTAAAAAAAAATCCCAACATATTGCAAAAAAGGTGCGAAAGTGGACCTGTTAGGCGACTGTTACATGACTTCCAACACATCCACAACGCTGTATTGAGTCAACATGAATTTATTCAAATTTTAAGCATATGTTATTAACCTGTTTAATGTCAAAATCTGGTTTATGTGCTAATAAACAACAAAACCGTCAATTTTCAAAATAAGGCAGAATGTGGATGGGGTTTTCTAAACGGAGGAATGTAGGTTGCCGGATAAAAACAAGTATTTATTGCTTCAAATTAAGTCCTTCAAATTTAATTAGCCATTGTACTGCTGCCCTTTATGGGACTGATTGTGAAGGAGGTCAAACAGGGCAATGTAAGTTGTAAAAAATCGCTACAACTAAGATGTTTTATTGTTAATTATAAATAACCCGGCTGTTGTTTTCCGAGAAATGACGCGTTATTTGAAGTATTTGTTGCCGTTAGCAGAGGCAGTAGCTTAGCTCGTAGACACACTGCAGACAAGTCATTCTGTGAGAATGTGCATCCTAGTATTATCGTAAGACTGTAACTGTGTTTGTTTAATACCTGTCGTACATCATAGGGCTCACTGTTTGTAGACTGAGACGCTGCACTTCAGCCCTGCTGCATTTTGTCTTTTTAATTCCTTGAATAAATATGTAATAAACTCTTCTTCCGTGTTGTTACAGTTATTGACAGATTTTTTTAACTCCTTTTTCTGTTCATGAATTGCAATAAACAAACATTACATGCAAGGCCGGATTAGTACCTCCAGGGACCCCTGGGCAGTGAGAGCTCAGGGCCCCTCAACCCAACACGCAGCAACCCAACAGGACCAATATTTAAAATGTTCATTCAATCTGGCATGTCAATCGCACACCTATTTTTCAAAAGCAGGGACGCAGCTACATATTTCAACCAAAGTAGGTCTAGCCTTTTGCCCTTTCAGTCAAAAATCAGAAGACAAGGATTCAATGGATAAGATCTCAAGACAGTGTATGGCTCAAGAAGACCTAGGTAATATCACTCAAAACCTCAGAGCAGCACCCCACTTAAAATGCCAAAATATGACTGGCTGTACAAGTACACAAGGAGTTCTATGTGTCACAAACATTGAAAGTATGTGGTAGCTCAACTAAGAGAGAGAGAGAGAAAAGTAAAACATGTATTGAAAGTATGTGGGAGCTCAACTAAGTGATCAGTATTGTGTGTGTGTGAGAGAGGGAGAGAGTGTGTACCAAAAAAACATTTTTCTCTCACTGAGGGCCCTCTCTTGCTCAAGGGCCCCTGGGCGTGTGCCCTGTGGTTAATCCGGCCTTGACTACATGCGGTTTGAGCTTGTGGATTCCTTGTCTAATTATTAGTTAATGTGTTGCTATTAGACAAGGTGGAAAGTAAAAACTCATAAAGTATTACCAAAAAGAATAATTAAGTATTTATTTTTATGAATACTAAACCTCATTACTACAAATCACTTTGAATTACATTTTTGTGATTGAGAGCAAGGGAAACTAATTTCCCTACGGCCACAAGAAGAAAAATAGCTAGTAGGTCTGCACGATTAATCAAACATTTTAATGAAATCGCTATACGGACTAGTGCATTTTAAAAATGTAGGAAGTATTTGTTAAAGTACAAAAGCATTGAGGAGCTACAGAGAAAAAAGAAAACATCTTAGTTTTTGTAAAGATCCTCTTAAGCAATCACACCATGATCATTCTAATATAGTTTTCAATTATAATGAGAAACAGTGATGTACAAATGATCAGTCCCTGCTATAAAGTGCAGGCCTGCCAGCTAGCTTCAAAGAAACGTCATTACAAAATCTGAGCCCTTCTCTGAATGAATCACTTGGCTCATTCATATCAGGGCGGTTATAACTAACGCATGTTGCTTTATGAGGCAGGAAAGCGTGAGATGTGATACAAGCTGCTCTGCACGTGGGAAAACTTTAAAGTTACATGATGTATTTTAGTCCGGTCTAAACTGCACACGAGCTAATGCTCGTTTTGGCCACGCTCTATTTTATAGGTCTCTTAATTCCTAATGATTTCCTCTGACGTTTTAATGAACCAACTTTGATATTAGGTTTGAATTTAAAAGGAAAATAGACAATGGTCATGTTTATAGTACAACAACTAATTCCTCCATTGAACAACACCTTCAAGTTCATAAAGTATGCTGCCTAAAAGTGCAATAATATAGATTACATCACTTTCATATTACCTGCACATTTATTTGGAAGTTGAGGCCCTTATTTCTAAATGTCCTTTCTTTCATATTTGATATATTGAGTGATGCATTTATGTGTTGTAATGGTCACCCATACAAGGGACGTAACGTTAACGACACCAAATAAAAGTAAATATTAATCAATATTGGGATAATATGATTCCCAACACTGGTTGAATTCCTCTCTATGCTGTGATTTACAACTTTAATATCATTACTATCTTGCATGTTTGGCTGATCTACTGTTGACTGACAATAAACCTTAGATCTCACACCAGTAAATAATAGGACATCTCTTTTGTGTTTTCCCTCAAGCAAGTAACGACCTAACAGGCTAAAGTGACAGGTCTCATAATCGGGATTAGCTCGCTTTGTTAAATGTGACAGCGCTCAGAAACCTAAAGGAAATAGACCAAGCTTAGTTAGCACTGAGGCAACACTAAACTCATTGTGTTGCACTTCACACACTTATCGAAACATAATGACTGACAGCAGGAACAGTTGCTTCACTGCTGCACAGTTTCAGCCTTGCATCACTTTAAAGAAGTGTAAAATGGGTACAGTAGCTTCGCTCGTGCACATGCAGGCTGCACGGTTGCACGCTATGTCATCATTGTAGTTGTAAAAATCAAAGTATGAACGATCATTTGTCCCACATTTGGTCACTTTTAATAACCATGTGGAAACGTTGTGCTGAGCCGCACCCTGGGAAACACAGTACAGTTGCCTGGATACCAAACAGATGTCAGTGTATGTATGTATGGCGTCACACGGCCGCCTACATGTGAATGTTATAAACTACAGGCCTGTCTCTCTCCTCCCGTTCCTGTCTAAATCACTTGAACGCGCTGTCTTTAAACAACTCTCCTGTTATCTCAATCAGAACAACCTTCTGGATCCGCACCAGTCTGGTTTCAAGGCAGGTCACTCCACAGAAACTGCTCTCATTGCTGTCACGGAGGAACTGCACACTGCCAAAACTGCATCCCTCTCCTCTGTCATCATCCTGTTGGACCTGTCTGCTGCATTCGACACGGTGAATCATCAGATCCTCCTTCGCACTCTCCAAAAACATGGAGTTTCAGGCTCTGCACTTTCCCTCCTCACCTCATACCTGAAAGACCGTACCTACAGGGTGACTTGGAGAGGGTCTGAGTCCGACCCTTGTCAATTAACTACAGGGGTCCCTCAGGGCTCTGTTCTTGGTCCCCTCCTCTTCTCCCTGTACACAAACTCGCTCGGATCAGTCATTAGCCCGCATGGTTTTTCTTACCACTGCTACGCTGACGACACCCAATTAATTCTGTCCTTTCCCCGCTCAGAGACCCAGGTCGTCGCACGCATCTCTGCTTGTCTAGCTGACATCTCTCAGTGGATGTCTGCTCACCACCTCAAGCTCAACCTTGACAAGACTGAGCTGCTCTTCCTTCCGGGAAAAGATTGTCCAACTCTTGACCTAACAATCAAGATCGGCACCTCAGTTGTTTCCCCGACTCAGACTGCAAGGAATCTGGGTGTGACCCTAGATAACAACCTGTCCTTCACTGCAAACATTGCTGCTACAACCCGTTGCTGCAGATACACGCTTTACAACATCAGGAAGATACGTCCCCAGCTGACACAGAAAGCGACTCAGGTTCTGGTCCAGGCTCTCGTCATCTCACGCCTAGACTACTGCAACTCCCTCCTGGCTGGTCTACCTGCATGTGCCATCCGACCTCTGCAGCTCATCCAGAATGCAGCGGCTCGTCTGGTCTTCAACCTTCCTAAATTCTCCCACACCACTCCGCTCCTCCGCTCCCTTCACTGGCTTCCGGTAACTGCTAGAATCCACTTCAAGACACTGGTACTTGCTTACCATGCTGCGAATGGATCTGGCCCTTCCTACATCCAGGACATGGTTAAACCGTACACCCCAGCGCGTGCACTACGCTCTGCATCAGCCAAACGACTCGCTGCGCCCTCGCTGCGAGGGGGACCCAAGTTCCCATCGGCAAAAACACGTGGGTTTGCTGTCCTGGCTCCAAGATGGTGGAATGAGCTCCCCATTGACATCAGGACGGCAGATAGCTTGCACATCTTCCGGCGCAAACTGAAAACTCATCTCTTTCGACTCCACTTCGAGCGTTAGAACTATTAACGAAGCACTTTTATACTAATAAAGGACTGGCTTATCTAAAGCCAGTTGAGTAGCACTTGAAATGTTTGGCTCTATGAAACCTGATGTACTTATATGATTCTGTTCTCTTCAAGGTTGTGTCTTCCTGGTCGAATGTACTTATTGTAAGTCGCTTTGGACAAAAGCGTCAGCTAAATGCAATGTAATGTAATGTAACTCTGTATTGTCTTCAAATAAGACATACACATATTTACGCACACACACCTTGGTCTGACTGTGGTCTTGTGATGGAGAGTGCAAAATAAAACCATCTGTTGCAAAATGAGACTCATGTGGCTTCCAGAGAAAACAATTGTCACCACCTGTAGGAAGTGTTGGCCTCAGGAAGGAATAGTCAACGGCTTCAGCTGGTCTTAAGTCTCTATACTAAATGTGAAATGTTGTCTCTTACATTGTATGTGAAGTTATTTGTTTGCTCATTTTGAAGGTATTGATTTCTTTACACAAAACAAAAACATGTGCTGTTGTTTTCTTGGTAAAGGTGAAACTCTCTGCTCCATAGTTTCTCTCTTCACTGTACATTTTACATTTATATATTCCATCTGTCACATACTTATATGTAATACCTTGCTTTATACCTTGTTATTGTTCATTTGTAAATTCAACATGTATATTTTCTACTTTCTTGTTTATTTCTTGTCTTTTAATTTTTATTGTACAATGCCATGTCTTTTTATGCTGCTGCAACACAAACATTTCCTAAATTGGGATCAATAAAGTAATATCTTATCTTATTGACAGAATTTCAATATTTGTTTAATAAGAATTTCAGATGAATTACACGTACAATAGACTATTAAGGAGAAGAGGTTAGATTTGTTCCTCCTTCATTGTCACTTGTGCAAAGACATTTTTTTGTGGACTCTGCAATTGAGGTTGAGACCCTACAAATGCTTCCAAGGGAGAACAATGTTATGTAACATGTGATGTTAGTCCCTCTGACTTAAACGCCCTGAACAAAGTGGTTCCAGAAACCATTTCCATCCAAACTGAAATATCTGAGCGCCATTCAAATTTGTACCGACATCCACAGGATAAACTCTTATAACTTTTCTAATGCTTTGACTGTTGTCTGCCGTGTCATCAGATCAAAACTCCTGTGAGGCCTATTTTGGTTTAGGCCTTAATAATTAACAAATGATCCAACAGCCACAGCTCCAAGACCAATTAAAGAAACCTTCTGTGAACACAACTCAGCAAATGAAGTGGTTCTGGACTGGAGGTGTCAGATTTGGAAATATCTGCTCTTTGTGTAATCCAT